TCATTCTGCCTGTCCCACTTGCCTACCACAAACTCTGCTTATGGATCAGTCACCTCAATTTCAACTTTCCTTGATCTCTGCATATCTACAAATCACACTCCCTTCGGTTGCTATAGTTCTTCATCTAGTTTTGATTTGTGGCACAAGACTCCACAAGTTAGTTTGTATGCACTGAGTGCTTACTTTGATGGAGCCCATATCTCAGGTCGATTTGCTTCTGTTGCAAGGCTTGTCACATAGTAAGTGAGGAATAAATATCTATTAAGTTCTGCTGATTTGTAAAAGTTGGCAAAGTGGACATCAGGGAGTAGGGCTTTAATTTTTCTTATTTATTTAATGAGGGGGCAGGAACACACACGGTATGGACATTGTGTGGAATATCTATCGAAAGAAAGAAGAGTCAGTTCTCTCTTCCCATGATATGGGTTATGAGATCAAAGTCCAATCACTGTCAGGGCCCATAAAGATGACTCTGCTTCATCTTGGCTCAAGGTCAGAGAGTTCAAAACTGTCCTTAGTAAGTCATAAGACCTAAAGGTCTCTAAGGCATGGCTACAGTAGGATGTTTGATCTTGGCCTTGGGTGTCTTATCTAAATAACAACAGACTTAGTATGAGGTGTGGTTGCTCCTGACCCTCAAGGCCAGATAACAAGAAATTGAATCTAAGGTGTGGTTACTGAATCCTTGGAGAATTAAAGAAGAAAGTCTGTTCCATATACGTGATTCCTAGTTCTTCTTTTTGGTTAAGTTATTTTAGAATGGTGAAGAATACACTCTGGGTGTTCAGTATTCACTGAATTGCCCTCATGTCTCTATTCTGTGTCTCTCTCTTTCTCGTAACATCTTTACCTAGCCTTCTCAACCCGCACTCCCCCTCTAAGATACAAACCAGGGGCAATTTAACTGGTTCCAATTGTAGCTCCACAAAGCCGGGTTCCCAAAAATCACCCAGCTTAAAAGCAAGCGCTTTTGCCCACTGAGCCATCCCATTGTCCCCAGTACAATGAATTCTTCATCACTCCCTGTGGTCTCTCACATCACAGCATACACTTAGAGAACAGACATACACACATTTTAAACTATAATAGGGAATCAGGGTATAGTCATGACCTGTCCCATCCTGATATCAATTCAAGATGACAAGAAAAAGCATAAGGTACTAAAGTGTCCTTATTTGAGGCAAGCATCAGGATGTGCCATTTTGATGTTTCATACATAGTGAAAATGTGTCAGATTCCATTAGGCACCTTAGACATGCCTTAAAGAAGGGACAAAGATGTCTGGTGAAGCATCATGGCTGCTAAATGGTTTGCACAAAGCATTTGCCCAAAATGAGCTTTCCTTGTCATAGTCGGTTTTTCTGTTGCTGTAATAAAACACCGCAACCAAAAGCAGCTGAGGAAGGAGAGGATTTATTTCACCCTGTATCTTATTCACTTGTCAATAAGAGAAGACAGGGCAAAAGCACAGGGCAGGAACCTGGAGGTGGGAACAGATGCTGAGACCATATAGAAGTGCTGCTTACTGACTTGCTCCCCATAGACTGCTCAGTCTGCCTTCTTGTAGCACTCAGAACCATCAGTGCCCAGGGTAATACCACCCACAGTGATCTGGGCCCTCCCACATTAATCATCTATCAAGAAAATGTACCACAGGCTTCCTGTGGGGCAATCTGATGGGGGCATTTTATCAATTGTTGTTCCTTCTTGAAAAATGACTCTAACTTGTGTCAAGTTGACATGAAAATAGCACCCCATGTGTCCTTGGTGAGGATGCTTCAGATCTCCGGATGCTTTGAATTAGTTAAAGTTTAAAAGCAATGAGCGAAATTACTGATAAGTCTTCCAGGGACCAGCTCTTTTAAAAAGTATTACATTTTTGCTTATTATAAGTAGCTATAATTTGACCTAGAAGCTTCTACAGTGTTTTTATCTTTTAAATAATTGAAGCCATTATTTTAATTTAAAATGATTAGGTTTCCTTTTCTGCCTCATTGTAGGCAATCAATGAACAATAACAACAACAAAATCATGTTATCAATTCCAATCATTCAGCCCTGAGATCACCTACATGTGAGCAACACTGAATTAAGCAGGTCATATGTACATATTTATTCATGTATACCCCTATGTAACAGTTAAAGAAAAAAGGCACGAGTTAGAGGGAGTGAGTTGGACACATGAAAGGAATTGAATGGAGGAAAAAGGGAGGCAGAAACGTGTGATTATATTTAACTTTAAAATTTAAAAACATATATTTTAAAAATCTGTTGGTCTAAGCATGTGAGCCACTGGAGATGATTTAGCTGGATTGATATTTTCCATTTTATCTTTGGTCAAGGACAGCAGAAGCTACAGGTGAATATGAAGTGTTCCCAATCTGATTTCTACTGTCTGCATCTCTATCCTTGCATGCACCCAAGCATGCTGTAGCCATCTGCATTCCTCACTATCACAAGCCACTACCATGAAATCTCTGTTACTCAGTGTGAAGTGCCTATCTGGAAGTTTCGTAGCTGGAGGGAACACACCGCCTGAAATGCATTGACTTGACCAATGTTAGCCAACAAATGTTCTAAGACTTCTTAAGAGATGTAAGTCTGCATACTTGATGCAAGAACAGCCCAGAGTCTCTGTGTAATCGGTAATATGAAGACTTGCAGTCCTATCCCTTTTCCAGAGGCTCAGAGTACTTTATATCTGAGAGATGAATCCAGACCAAGATCTTTCCATTTATGCTAACTACATGCAGGATCTTCAGGGTAGAGCTCTCATTCACCCCAACTTTGTTTAGTCAACCAAAATGCTTCCATATTGAATGCCACCATCTTTGAGATCAGTATCTCTTCCATAGTGTTTACTAATTAAAGATCTCTCTCTTTCTGCCATGTAGTTGGAATTTTCTTTGGGCCATCAACCAACTCCCAAATAAAGACATTATTAAATTACGAATGCTTGGCCTTAGCTTAGACTTGTACCACTAGCTCTTTTAACTTAATTTAACCTGTTTCTATTTATCTATATTTTGTCTTGGGGCTTTACCTTTCTTTCATTCTGTAAGTTCTACTTTCCTGCTTCCTCTGTGTCTGCCTGGCTGACCTCTGGCATCTCTCTTGTGTCTCCTTTTCATTCTTCCAGAGCCTAAGTTCCTCCTCTTACTTACTCTCCCTGCCTGGAAGTCCTGTCTATATCTCCTCTCTCATATTGGCTGCTTAGCTTTTTACTAGACCAATCAGGTGCCTTAGGCAGGCAAGGTAAAACAGCAACGCACCTTTATAAATGTAAACAAATGCATAGTAATGTAAACATATTTTGCATAGTTACACAAATGTTCTACAACACAAATACAACACCTCTTTATATAGTTAAACAAATGCAACACATCTTTGCATACTTAAATATTCTGCAACACTGCCCCCTCTCTCAGCCTCTGACTCTCCTCTCTATCTATCCCCCTCTCTCTTTCTCTCTCTTCCTTCCTCTCTCTCTCTCTCCCTTCAGAGAGGACAAAACCTGCTGTGCCTTGATGTCAAGCTTTTAGATGTCAAAACTATGAGAGAACAAGTTTGTAGTGCTTCATGATGCCCCCCCAACCAATAAGACACAGTGGCAGGCACCCAAATCAAAACCATTGGGTCTACAAGAAAAATGAAAGTCATGTATGTCCATAAACATATTTGTGCAGTTACACATCTGTATAAGTTGGAATTGTCACCATGTTTCCTAAGCCTTCTACCCTATGGTGGAGAATGATAGATAGAGAGATAGTCAATCACTATTTTGTCTTTGAAAGGATGAGTTTTGTTCCAAACAGCAGCAGGATACATGCTGCATCCATGATCAATCACAGATCCTGAGGGATTCAGACAGTCTACAAACTCTCTGAACACTGATGAAGTCCACACACTCTAAGAGACACAAATGAGCAATCAAACCTGTCTCCTGGAAGACTCTTCTTCCAGACCCAAAGGCACAAGCCAGCAGTCTTGGGTACTCAGGAAGCTGAGACAGAAGCACTACGAGTTCAAAGCCTGCCTGGGCTACAAAGTCACTTTGAGTCTAGCCTGGGCAAATTACTGACTAAAAAGGAAAATAAAAATAAAACCAGAGATGTGTAAAGATGTTAATAGACAGATTCCTCCTGATCCTTTCTGTTGGCCAATTTCAAGGGATCTCTCTCTCTCTCTCTCTCTCTCTCTCTCTCTCTCTCTCTGAATTCCCATGGTTCCTTTTTTGTTTGGGCCAGTTGTGTACCTAAGGTCTCTCAATATTAAACCAAAAAAGTAAAAAGCACTTGTGTATAGTGAGTGCAAGGAGGTTACATTTACATCAGAGCACATAAACCTTTTCTCACCATGGCCCAGAGACAACTACATTTTTCTTGGCATCAGACTCCTTGGTAAGCAGGAATAAAGTTCTCTGCCAGACATCCCTCCCTCCCCTGCCACACACACACACACACACACACACACACACACACACACCATTTTTCTGGGAGTTGTAAATAAAATAACTGGAAGGAAACAATAGCCAGAAAGAGTATCCAACAGGAAAAATATAAAGCAGAAATGGCAGTCAGCATTGGAAACAAACATAAAGCCTTGTTTTCATATTCCTCAAAACAGAGCTCTAGAGCCCTGCAGGTACTGTATCTCCACAAACATCCAGGGCAGCACAAGCCACATCCATGGGGGCATTGTGCTAACTCACACTGAATTGTTAAGCATCAGAGTAGCGTGTTTGTGAAGACTCTTGGAAATAAACAAATGAGTCAACTAGATAACCAGACTTTTTTTTTTAATCCCACAAACGGCGCCTTGGGGAATAACATGCAAAGGGGCTGCTATGCAAAGGGTGCCCTCTGGGTCATGGACAGCTTGGCCAAGGGCCAGCAGTCCAGTCCTCCTTCTTGGGGTTTGAGATTGTTAGAATCTTGCATGTGGCCTTTTCTTTTTTTTTTATGGAATCATAATCAGGCACCACATCCCCCCACTACCATTGCTGCTAACTTGATTCTGATTTACTGTAGAATTTGGGGACAATTTATTCCTTTCATCTAAGTTCCTATTCTTATTCTATTTCACACTGCTGTTGGTGTCTTTCTTGCTGTTGGAGTATAATGGTTCAATCTATGAGAGGAGTATCTATACAGTGCCATGGTTGTTAGGTAAGTGGAAAATTTCACTGGTATTATTCTTGGGTTTCTTTTGTTGGGTTGTGTTTTTGAGCCATGGTTTCATTACATACTTGATGTTGGCCTCAAATACAGGATTTGTCTACTCTAGCCTCCCATGTGCCTAGGATTGTTTTAAATCCCCAAATTGTTTGTATATTTGAGTATGTGCTTACATTGTGGGAAAGGAGGCCACCACCCAGAAGATCTTGAACAGGCTAGAATCTACGGTCTGCTTCAGCAGCCTCATGGAAGCTGACTGCTCTAGCCTTCCCCGAGTACCAGACCTCTGCTAACACTCTGCTGAACTTTTTCATTCATAAGCCATAGCAACCTCCATTTAGATATGTTTGTTTACCATATTGATGAAGCTAACAAGCTTAGTAACTGGCTTAGTTTAGCTTAACCTGCCCGAAGACACTCAGAATCACATTGCACAGAGCAGTTCCTGCTGACAGGATGATCCCCTCAACTTTGAGTACCTCTAGCACTACTGATCATTCTATATGGAAACAGAGATCAGCCTGTCAGAATTTGTCCTAATCTGTTACTATGATGAGACCCAGGACTGGAAGGCATGTTAGTGAGGAAAGGGTTTATTTCATCCTACAGATCGTAGTCAGCTGTGAAAAGAAGTCAGGGCAGGAACTCAAGGCAGACACCTGAAGGCAGGAATTGAAGCCACAACCACAGAAACATGTCACTTGCCAGCCTGTTCATCCCAGCTTGCTCAGTTCATTTTCTGATACAACCCACAACTAACCTGACCAGGGGTGACACTCACACAGAGTCTTGCCACATCAATCATTAATCAAGCAAATGCTCCAGAGACCTCCTACAGGCCAAGATGATAGAGGTAATTCCTCAGTTGAGGCACCCTGTTCCCTTATGGCTTCACTTGTGTCAAGTTGACAAACCACTAATCCACATGCCCTCCCATCTCTGTGTGTCAGCTTCCAGCTAGATCAGGGCCCTACTTCCTGTGTTGCTAATTGTCATAAGACTTGGATCCTGGGATGGAAATCTTGTAGAGAAGAGAAAGGGAGGCAGTGGATTAGTGGGGCATGGTGGGTTTTGTTAGTAGATGCCAAAGCAGACTCTTGGTCCAGTCTTGTGGACAGAGAGCCAGCAATGACTTGAGCATAAAATGGAGTGGAGTGGGACAGCCTGCTTGAGACTCTGGACCTTGGGGGAGTGTTTCTCTGTTCTTTAGCTGAAAAGCAAGCAGGGTGAGTCTTGATACTGCCATTGCCTTCTACCTCCCTGCGCCAGAGATGTTGAGCCAAGTCTTTTCCCATTATACATTCCAAACATGTATTGCAACAGGGCAACACATTTCAATAATAAATCAAGTCTCTTGTGGCTTTCAAGGTCAGAAGTAGAGGTATTTTTATTTATAAATCATCTCCTTTTAAAAAGCCACATCGAAAGTTAAAAGAAGTCATTATTGGTGAAATCATCGGAAAAAATAGCAGGCGATTTGAGGTGATGGATTACCAGAGAGCTCATCTCCTGCCAATTTAAAAAGCTTTTTGACTGCTTGCTTTCCATTTCCAAGCTTCAAACTCAAATAGCTTTTCACAAGAACAATTGCACTAGACAAATTGATATAACTGCTTTACCCAGCCTAGCACCCATTGACACCCACCACCCACCACCAGCCACCCTTTCTTGGTCTCAAACTTTACCTAACATTGCTACAAGAAGGAGAATGACCATTCCTCAGATACCAGCAATGTGCCAAGCACCTCACTTAACACATGCCACCCTGGGAGTGCACTAAATGACCTTCCAATGAAGCTTTTAAGATTCTCATTTTATTCTGGAGAAAACGGGACCCTCAAAAAGTAAGAGATCACAAGGTTACAATGTACTTAAAGTGGAATTAGAATATGACCATGGTTTCCCAGTTCACCAGAACTAAGTGGAGGATGTGCTCAGCCTTATGTCTGCAGATGGAGGGTAATCCACTTACTTGTTTCCTGACTTTTACTTCCTAGTGTTATGGGATGAATTATGTCCATTCAAAACTCATTTGTAGAAATCCTAATCCCTCTGTACCTCAAAATGTGAACTTATTTGGAGATGGAATCTAGATAACCTCGTTAAAATGAAGTCATTATGGAGGGGCCTAACCCAATCTGAGCAGTGTCATTACAGCAAGGGGAATGTGAACATAGAACCAACAAATGCTATGTGAGGATGATGACAGTGGTGCCAAAGATGCCCAGAAAGCCACCAGAAGCCAGGAGAGAGGTGTGGGCAGTCCTTTGTCATAGCCTCAGGAAGTGACAACTCTGCCCACACCTCTGTAACAACACCCAGCCTCCCCGATTGTGGAACTTTGGATTTCTATTGTCTGATCCACAAAGTTCATGGTATTTTGTTATCACAGCTCTGGCATATGAACACACTCAGTCAGGTGAATTTTCTTAAAATAACCATATCACTGCCTATCCTGTCACCCCAATAATTTCCCCTATTATCTGAAAGGTTTTTCACAGCTTTGAGTCTTTTCTGAGGGAGGATGGAATAGAGGATTTTAATGACTGCCTCATCATTCTGAAGACTCCCCCGTAAAAAAAAGCTTTTAGCAGTGGAGGTGTTGCATTTTCGTTTTGATCTGGCCAAGGAAGACATGTCACAGAGGTACTCCACAGTAGCAGCTCCTGATGTAGTATGTATTTGCTGACTGCACACCTGGCTCCTGGGCCTTAGAATATAATGGTAGCTAATGTCTATACCCTTAGTTCATAATAAAGAAGAGACAAACATAAAAGAAATTTTCCCACAGCTGCATATGGCCTGGCCCAATGGTGTAGAGATTTCTGTGAAGAGCTAATGGCTGAAATGAAAAACCAACTTAAGCCCAGAGGTGGTCAGCCAGCCACTGACCATAAGTGCCAGCATTGACTCTAGGTCCTCTGTGTTGAAGCTCAGCCCTCCCTTGTGTGTGTGAGAGAGACACATCCTTCTGGACCACTGGGTATATGCAGTATATGAGTGTGTGATAGAGAATAGGGCCTCTGGGGGGCTGGAGAGATGGCTCAGCACTTAAGAGCACTGGCTGCTCTTCCAGAGGTCCTGAGTTCAATTCCCAGCAACACATGGTGGCTCACAACCATCTCTAGTGGCATCGGATGCCCTCTTCTGGTATAAAATCATGTGTGCAGATAGAACACCTGTACACATAAATAAATCTTTAAAAGAGAAAGAGAGATAACGAGACCTCTGTGTTGACATACATGCAACCACCTTCTTGCTCTGTTTCAGTTTCCTGCAGTAGAAACCATTCCCCAAATAAAACACACTGACAGGTCTGTTGGAATACTGGACCACATCTGGTGAGTTCCACATTTTACAGCTGTTGGGTTTCTTCTTAGAGAGCTGGTTTTGAAGAAGGGGGAGGACAATAGCACATTCAGAGTGTAAGATTAAGCAGAGAGTGAAGTGTCATGCATGGGACAAAGGGGAAAGGTCTGGAAGGGCTCTGCACCAGCTTGGGTATTAAAGAACAACACTTGTTGGGCAAGTCAGTCTGTCTTTGAGCCTTAGTTATTCCCTCTTTACAATGAAATGCTTGGTCTAGAGATCACTGTGTTTCTGATCACAGAGGAAGGACTTATTTCTAAAGTCCTTAAACAAAGAGGCCCCCATTCTCAATGGTTGCAAGTACAGTGCTGTACAGCCCTCCCTGGAGACTGCCTGTTCAGTTAGGGCCTCTCCAATACTCTTCTAGCTCTCTCAATAGTCCCATCATAACTAGAAGGAGGCACAGAGTCTCCCAGATGTATGAAGTCTCTTTCATATGCATGAAGTTCCTCCCCAAGCACACAAAGCCCTCTCCATGTTCGTGAAGTCGTCTTCACTCTCATTTCACTGGTTCATCTTTACCACGTCTCCCTCATACTTAACAAAGCTAGTAGTTAGAAAATTCCTCTTCTATAGGATATTAAAAAAATTGCTGAGTTCAATGAACTTCACAAAAAACATTTTATTTCTCAAATGTTCCAAGAAATTTGCAGCTATTTTCCTTTAATATATAGACATTTATTGCCAGCAGGCATGTCTACATTGTTGTGCTCAGAGTTCCTTTTATGCAACAAAGCTTGTGTGAACACTTTGCAAAAGTAGAAAACAATTGCACAGATTGTAACAAGAGAAACAAAACCACAGAAAAGGCAAAAGCCAGACATTCTCTGATCGGCACAGTTAACATATGCCATATGATCTTACCCTGTTGTCAGAAAGAGCTGCAAACATGGTTCTTAATTTCCCTGATGCTGTGGCCAATTCAGTCATTAATATAAAGACACTAGTTTCCTAAAGGTTATGAAGTCACTTGATAAATCTGCAGCTACATCAACCAAGTAAATTGGAGGCAAAGCCTGAACCTCTGCACTCCTTCCCAGCACTAAATTCTGTGCCCAGTATACCCATTAACTCTACCTTGTAGGTAAGGCAGTCAAAAAAGCCTGGGGACTGAATTTTGAAGTTTAGAAAGCAGAGCTGTCTACTCAGTAAACATGGAATTGGTAAAGTCATTAGAGTGTCACATTTTGAGAACCCAATGTTTCAGCCAGTGTGGGCAACTGCCACAATAATCAAGCTATGTTAGGAACTGAAATAGAGGACTGAGCGTAAAGCCCAGTAGTAGACTACTTGTTATGTGTTCAAGGTCCCCAGCACCACACCAAAAAAAAAAAAAAAAAAAAAAAAAAAAAAAAAAAAAAAAAGTTCTAGGCTGGAGACAGAATGATATCAATAAAGAGTATCACAGACAGGAATGTTGTTAATGCCCATACCAGCATGGTCTTGGAGAGGGAGGGCATCAGTGTTTAGACCCAAGGATGGTAGATAGAGTACCTGATGCAACTCAACATCTGATTTGTGGGATTCTTCTTCTTCATAAGAACCCATCCTTAACAAGCAAGCGTCTGACTCAGAGAGTCTCCAGGTTGGTCGTCTACAACAAGGCAGCTCTGTTGTACAGAATTGTGTGGTCCAGTCTTGGTGAACACAGCCTTTCTCTGGAAATGTACAGTTTTATTCATCAACTTCATTAGCTTGACAGTATGGCAGTGTCTTGGGAGAAAACATACTGTGAGTAGTGACAAGCTCAGCATTGAGCCACCTGAGACCCAGACACCACCAGTTCTATGAAGGAAGAAATAACCCTGACAAGGAAATGGCAGCCTTTCCCATTGGCTTTGTCTGAACTTCCTCAGGAGCAGCACTCGTAAGCGTTCACGTGTGATGCCAGCCTTTGCTTTCTTCCTCACCCATCTCTTTCCATGTTTGGAAACTCTGTGGACCTTCTTGAATCTTGGGTCTGGACAGTGAATGTACACATTGCTTCTGGACATTGTCTGCTTCAACTCGTGCATCCTGATGTGAAAAATCATTATATCTCAAACAACCGAATCCCTAGTACTTGGTGTTTATAATGTGCATCACCCACAGGCAAATCTGAAAATTACTGCTCTTCTCTGGTGTTGTCTACTAGATTTCACACAGCCCAGCCCAGCATGAAGCCACAAGGAACTAAAATGGGTTTGAAAGCAGAAGGTGGAGAAGGATTGCTGTTATCTTCTGATTAGCAGAGATGAAAAATGATTTGAGAGACCCAAATGGAATGACAATGGCATGGCTCAGTGCTCTGGTGGACTGTTGTTCATAAACAGATAACAGTGCCCTTGGGAGTTTGACTCACTTAAATCTGCTTGGAATGACCAAGCAGAACTGGCAGGGCTGTTTTCATTGTGAGCTTCCAACACACACTCAGATTAATATAAGTGCCAAGAAAATTAATATAAGTAGCAGGAATTGAGTGAATAAAATAAATGAGTAATTAATGGTACCATGACAAATCAGTGGGAAGGAAGGGGGACATCACAGATGTGCTGACCTCTCAGAAGTCAGCTGCAAACAGCCTTCCCCAGAGGGCCACACCTGACTCCTCTCTCAGCTCCTAGTCCAGAAATGTATTCTAAACCCCTGTGTGGGGATTATTTCAGTCAGCCTCTAGGCACTTCCCAGCATCTTTAGTTTTCAAGCTTTGTCTCGCTGTTTCATCTCCTCTAGGGTTTCAAGGGAGGAGCATGGTCTCTTCCATCAACCCCTCTTCATCTGATCCTACCTAGAAATACTCAGGACAAGTAGAAAAAGAAACCTCGGGGGAACTGATGGAATAGCAGATCCCTTGTGTATTTAGAACAGTTTACAGGTCTTCAAGTAGATTCACAGATGTGAGCACATCTGATTTTCCCAAATCCCTGGGATATTCCCTAAGACACATCCATCTTCTGCAGACTTGTTTCATAGACAGTCTCTAAGATGAGAATTATTACATCCCTTACCTCTTAAAGCTGCAGCAAAGACGAAATGCAATAGAAGAATTGCTGTGGGTAAAAGCCTTCACAGCCAAGCCCGGCATGTAGGAAAGGCAAGATATTGTTTTAGCTCGAAATTCTAAAACAACTTGTTCTTTCTAGCTTCTCTAATCTGGAATCAAAAGACTAGAACCCAAGTGCTCAGGATACTGGAATGGCATGAAATTCCTGCCCGCTTGGTGCATTGCCTGCCGCACCTCCAGGGACCTCCATGCCCACACTGAGTGCTTGAAGTAGACCTTGACTAAGAGCACTGCCTACTGTGGTCACTTGCATCCATTTCCTTGAGGCCACATCATCCTACCTTCATAGGTAGCTCCTGGCCCTCCTCTGGTGTTCAGCTCTTCCTCTTGAGGATACACAAGGCCACCTGCTCCTGAGTCCTGTCTTCCCTCTGTCCACTTGGAGGTCAGGCAGTTAATTCCCCTAGGAACTTCAGCATATGTCATTGACTTTAAGGTGCACTAGGCCACATGAATCAAGGACAGACAGTCATGCTGCTACAGGAAAGGGACAGTCACAGAGCTAGCACCAGGCCAGCTGGTCCCACTCCAGAAGGAGGAAAGCACAGCTGACATGGGCCAGCATGGCTACATATTTCCAGATCATTCTCAATGGAGCCGCATATGCTGGCCATGTGCAAAAGATGCCTCTGAGACCTAAAAGGTCAAAGCCAAGAAAAAAACAAAACCAACTGCTAGGGAAGGGCAAACTCAGAAGCCCGCAATGTTGAACACAGACACAGATTGCAAATGTAACCCTTCATAACAGAACCTTTCCTCTATGCTCACACCCAGCTACTCTCCTGTCAAGCTGTGACTGAATGTCCCTGCTTGCTGGATCTCTGTCTTAACACCTCTCAGCAGAAAAAAAATTTTACTTCCATATGAATGAACTCCCACAGGGCTGGAGAGATGGCTTAGCCATTAAAGGCTAGGTTCACAACCAAAAATATGAATGAGCTCCCACATTGTCTCTATCATTTCTCTCAGGACATTTAGCCTTTTCTGCCTTGATCAAAGTCATTAGTTTACATGTCTTAGTTTCTTGACCCTTCTGCAGTTACCTTTGCTTTTATGGATGCAAACATCATCCTTCTCCAGGCCTAAACTACAGCATTTGCATCATTTCCCGTTGGTTGTTCGTTAATGTGGCATCCCTTCTCTTTCACCACCTCTGAACCCCACTAGGCCAGAGGAGGCCTGTTTTCATCTTTAGTACCCAAAGCCTCATGTGGTGCTAGTAATTGTTAACTGGGTTCCATGAGATCAGAGACTATGGTTTGTAGAATGTAAACTCGCCATTGCTATTTATTAATAGAATGGAAATTTGAAACTAGTGGCAATTTCTAAGCCATATTCTATTGCTTTGTGATTTTGCATTATGAATTTAGATAGTGCTAGCTGTTGTTGAGTGTGGCACACAGGAGAAGGAATGATTCTTGGAAAAGATGTAATTCAGCCAGTCATTTTTCATGAAAGCCTGGCACTTCTGTAAAGCATCCGGTATTTAGGGTTTATGACACGGACTAGGAAGTGACCTTCAAGCTTTGGGCTCTAATGCATTTCCCATCCAGTCTAGGGGCCAGCACCTTCAGAAGCTGGAAACTTCCAGCTTCCATGTTAGAATGCGCGCCTGTGTCTATTCATCCATTACAGACAGTGATTAGGCCACTCTATGGTCTAAAGGTGCATCTTCTATAAGAGCAAATGCCACACAGAAATAGCAATGTACACAAGACAACATAAACATGATGAACACACCGCTGACAGGCAGGCCTGAAGAAAAAAAGGATAGAGGAAATGCCAACCAAATTGTAATTCATATATCCTTCTCTTTCCAAAGATTACAAAATTCCCATTATGTGGGGACAGTGTTTTAGGTACTACAGACATCTCATGGGCAAGACTAGTGAGCACTTTTGGCTAACTTTGTGGTGGTAGAATCGGGGG